GCCAGTGTTTTCTCTGTGTAATTCCACAATACTGCCACACATCCGTGAGGACAATCATTAGGGCCCAGTAGTTCAAAAATATCCATAGAATGTAAAATTAAATGGGATAGTGCTTTGATTGCATGGGCACAAATTGATCCAACTTTTGTGATCATGGTGTCTCAGGTCTCATATCAGTTATCTCAGCATAACTTTTTGATTATTTCTGAAGTCATGCACGAAATGAAGGAAGACACAGTCTGACCTTTCCAGACTTGCTGCATTTTAATTTTTCTTATGCTTAGAAATAATTCAGAAGAACCCAAGAGGTAATATTATTTTTGTATAGAACATCTGAAGAAATACTAGGCATGTTCAGAATACATTAAAGATACTGTACTGACCCAAGAAATTTACAGTCTGCTTTTTTGTATTACATAACTAATGAGAGCAATAAATGCTAGAGGAATGGAAAGAGTGGAATGAGTTTACAGTAATAAGATTATAACATTCCTCCAATATGTATACATGTTTTAAAATTCACTTCAGTTTTTGCTACCTCAGTACAGGCTTTGATTTTTCATTTTGGCTCTTTATCAGATTACATTTTCTGTCTGAATCTACCAAACCATAACATCCTGGCTAAAAACTCAAACCAGACTATTTTTTTTTTGTTTTAAATCTTGTTATGTGTTTGATTTCATTTGGATTGTGCCTCCTCTGCTCTGCCTTCACAGCCAATGTTGGTGGCCTGTTTCTAGAAGAAACCCTATGGCCTTTGCTCTGAAAGAAGTCCAACAGATTTGAAGTACCTGCATTGCATGTACTCAAGTTCATGCACGACTTCTACACTGGGGGGAAAAAAAAAGATCTATATGATTTCTATATAATTGCACTTAGATTTTTATATCTCCACTTTGAAAAACATTTTCGTACCATACACCATATGTGAGGTGCTTGAAATGCATGCACAACCTGTGCATTAATATTCTAACTTTCCATTCTCCTCCAGCCTTAACAGCCTTTTAAAAACGAATTGTGAAAAACCAGTAATGCCCTTTTTTGGCTTCTTTTTTGTTATGTATAAAAACGTTTTCTTTTTTTTTTTCTTTTTCAACTTGCCAATTTTTTACACACTCTGAAATTATCAGGATTGTAAAATTGAGTTTTTATTGATCTTTCTGGAAGATATTTGAGATTTCAACAGGTATGTATTGACCCCAGCCACCTCCAGTTGAATCAGAAGGACTGCATGCACAATGCAAATCAATCTGTCTTTGACATATTTGAATTATCTTCATGTTAAGAAAAAAAAGGAGTGATTAGAAATAATTTTTCCTTTATTTGCTTTTGTGGCATTATGTTGTCTCACGTTCTTTTGTAGCCATATAGTACTGTGGGCTGTGGCAAAAGATAAACAAAACAATAGAAAATCTGACATTTTAAATACAAGAAAGATTGAAAAAATAGCGTGTTCCTCAAGTCCCTATGGACTATAAATAAACAGAAAGACAGCACAAATCCATATTTAGAAAAATAATTTCTTGCTTGATATTTAGAACGGAGTTGTCAGTCACATTAATTTTTATGTAAATTTGTCTAAGCTGATGAATCACAACTGAATAATTGCCTCATCTTTGTGGTTTTGGCCAGTATTTCCATTTGTATTTCTATTACTGCAGTTTATTTTTATTTGTTTATATAATACTTCTAAAGAGTCCATTCTGGGAACCCATATCTAACACAGCAAGAACACAGGGCCTGCTTCAAGTCACTTTCAGTCCACACAAGTTGATGCCAAAGACAGACAAAGATCAGAATAAGACAACACTAGTCACACTGACAGACAGTAATCTTGGCTCACAGCTGACTATTTATTATCATTTCTTCAGTAGACATCACAGCATAGGAGATTTTTAGGGAGGGATTTGAAGGAGAAAAATTAGGTGAGTGGGAGTGAGAAGCAGCAGTGAGGGAAAGCAAGAAGGTGCTGGTTTGAAAATGTAACAAGTAGAGTTATTACTGAATGAAATGTGTGGGGGGAAGACGTTGACTTCTCTATAGGATATTAAAAGATGATGGGGTGGGAATAAGCTGTGAAGAGCCATAAAAGTGAAGTAGCTTTTGCTTGCTAAGATATTGAAGGAGGGATGCAATAAAATAAAGAATACGGCTGAAGTAATAAATGTGAAGATAACCAAGGAGTTAGCATTTTGCTGTAGTATTCTGTTACTCCCTGTTGTTGCGTGATGTCCAAAATTAGATTATTAGCTTTGGAAGGGAAGGGACCAAAGATGTCTTTATATTGAAGAGCACCCTAACATCTTTTCACATGCTCTAAAAATGCATAAATAAAAATGAACAAGGGCTTCTCCTGATCATTCCCTCATTTTTCAGTCCTCATTCTTCAAGTTTACACCATTCAGGTATCTTTCCCTTTTCAAAAGAACTTTCTATATGAACTTTCCAGTTCTTCTCTCAAGTCAAATTAGCTTACTGTTTTTGGAAAGACTGCATATCATCTATATTTAACATCATTTCAGCTTGGTGAGGTGACTATAACATAGCATTAAACTCAGACTAAAAAAAACTTGAGCGTGGCATTTCTAGGTTTTTCAAGTGTGTTAACTCAGAAAAGCCAATTTGACTGAAAAAAAGACTGCTTTCCCCAGATATCTCTTATTTCAATACATCTACAAATATCTGAGTTAATGGCAGCTGGAGGCAAAAGTCCTTTGGATTAGTATTTGTGGTCACCATAGAAGTGAGTCTCTGGGAGAAATGTGAATAAAGAGAAGGTCATACCAAGAACTGATCTGGAAGGTTTCTCCACAGGCACTTAATTCTTAGAAATTTACAGATGAAAAATGCTATCTGACTATTAATAGATAGGAATGAAATATGGATGAGGGGACACTAAAGCTGGAATAGCAAGTGGAACAAAGGGGATAGGGGACTTGGGGACATAAGAAACCAGACAAGAGCTGCAGACTTGGACAGAACTATGTAAGACCTGGATAAATAAGGAAAGTTTAGATAAAAGAATGAAGAGCTGAATGTTATGAGAAAGTATTTTAAGAAGGACTGGGACATGGCTACCAGGGAACCTTAAATAAAAGAAGTTATACAGACAGGATAAAAGATGAGCAGAAACAAAAAAGTTGCCCTAGCTACAGACACTGATATGGTCAACTTTGCAGGGAGAAAGCCAGAGTTGATAACAGGCTAGGAAAATAAAAAGGAAAAGCAGTCAGGTTAGGTCTGTAGTTTATGTGACAGACAGGCAGGAGGTACAGTAATGCGTGGAGAGAGTTTCCACGGGAGAATGTAAAGTACATTAAAAACTTGAATTAGTGCTAATAACATTTCCAAATGAATATTTGATGAACATTTGATATAAACAGTCATCAATGAGGCCTGAATGGACAGAAGAGAATACATGCAGCATAATCTGAAGTGAGGTCTCCCAGGATCATTTGCCAAGCAAAAAACAAGGCCTGGGAAATTTTCTAGTCCAGGGAAATGGTGTGAATGGAGAGCATGGGGTGGGGTGCTCACCATAGTTCATTGTCAGCAGTGAGACAAACCAGCCTTTGCAGTATCCTAGTTACCACATGTAGTTTATGAAGGCTGAAGAAGTATAGACATTATTTTTTCCAGGGCTTGAATCTAGATGTCCCTTGATGGCTTTTAAGTGCTGGCACAAAGCAAAGAACAATATCCATGTTCCAACAGGCCTTCTAACCCCATCAGAAAGCCCCCTTGGTGCACTATTTTAGACACATATTTCAGTCACTGGAACAGGAATGTGGCTGCATTTGAAAACTTGTGGCTGTGGCTATGGTATAGAAATATGTTGAGAATGAAGAGAAAAATAACCAGAACAGGATGAACCGGAGGAAGAATCGACAAGGCTGTGAAAGCCAAAGAAAAACACAATGAAGAGAAGGTAATAGATCCTACAGAAAAATCTAGCTGTGTAGAACCATGTGAGTCTTGTTATCAGGTGTTGCACTGGAGCAGAAAATGCACATAGCAGATAGGAAGACAGAGAGATGGAGAAAGGTACAGTTTCACTTGCCTTCATTTTCAGGCTTGGAGTGTTTCAGTAACAGATCACTGGTCTCTGTAGTAACATTAATTTATTAGCTGTAAGTAAGCAAACACATAAATGTTTATGTAGCCATAAACAGTCTTGCCCATTTCCATTGCTTAGCATTGCACACACGCTTCCCATTTCAGTTAGCCACTCATTTTGGAGTGTGTTCATCCCTCGTGTGTCCATGGATGCAAATACAAGTGACTGAAGGACCTGTGCTTGCACTTGTGACACTGCCTGCCCCTCACCTAGGCTTGGAGCATGCACCGAGGACACATGATGAAGGTCTCTGGGGAAACACACACATAATTAGCCCCTCTGCACCACACAACTCACTGCTGTATCTGCCACATGCTGGGTGTCACCCAGCGGGCCTGCAGCACACGTAGGAGCCCTGCCGTCCCTAGGAAGCCTGACTGTGTTTGCCATATGGTCGCACTCACCTGCTATGGCGAGAGACAGACGGGCAACACACACACTCATAATGAAGCCCCCCACTGGGCTGCCCTAAAAAACGAGGGGAAAAAGTGGCCGTAACTGCCGTCTAATCAGAGTGCCATGCGGGCTGTGCGGTAGGGCGGGATGGTGACACACCTCTGCCCGCGGCCCGGCCCCTCACCGCGGCCGCCACGTTCGCCAGCCTGGGAGACAGCGGCAGCGGCAGCCCAGCGATTGCAGCCCGCTCTCGGGGTGGCTGCGCGCCGGGGTGGCTTCTCCCGGGCGGGGGGCTCTGCCAGCGCGATGCTCCTCCACACCCCTCGCCTCCCCTCCCTTTCGTTCCCGCCGCGCAACGGCGGCTGCGCGCGGTCAGAGGGGGAGCGCGGGGCTCCCCGGCGGTGACGTGCGTTGCCATGGCGACGCCCAGGCGGCGTCTCGCGCCGTGGGGAGGGGGGAGGGGGGGACTGAGGGGATGACAACAAATATGGCGGAGAGGAGCAGGACGGCAGAGACGGGTCAGTGCCAGCCGCAGGCGCCTGGGCGGGGGGAGAGGGGAAGAGACCCCATCTCCAGGGGATGAAGGCGAGGGGCTTCCAGCAGGGAAGAGAAAGCATGCCTCGCTTGGAGTGAAGGGAACGGAGGTCTTCCCGCCGGGAAAGGGAGGGAAGCTCTGAGGTGCAGAGGGGGCCCGGAGCAGGGAGAGAGCTCCTTGCACGGGTCGCTGCGAGGAGGGGCAAGTCCCATTCCCGGAGGGACGTCTTCCAGGGGCGAGGTGGCCGTGGGGTAGGCAAAGAGGAAGGGCAGGCTCAGGACCCGTGCGGGGACCGCTCCGGCTGCGGGGCTCTGCGGGGCGATCGGCGCCGCGCGCGGGGACGGAGCGCTGTGGTGAGGAGGAGAGCAAAGACTGGCGGGAGGGAGCGCCTCACACGAGAAACATTTCCCTGCTTTACCTAGAATGGAAAGTAAATGATACGTGAAGGCGGAGGGTTGGAACTGAAGCCGCACCGCGGTGCTGCCGGCTCTGGGCTGACCTGCAGGTGCTGCCTGTCCTGTCCCTGGGTCTGTATGGAGCGCTTCGCTTATGTCACCTGCTGCGCTGTCAGGGGCTCCCGCTGGGGGCTGAAGTGGGATTGTCCCGTTCCGACCCAGCTGGCGATAGCTCTGGCTGTGTGTGCGAAGATAAGTTTGTAGGTGAAACTCAAGTTCTGGGCTTCTTTGTATGTGGTATGGATTGTCTAGGTACAGGGCTCTCTCCTGCTGTAACAGAACACAGCAAAGGTCTTTTCCATCTCACAAAAGCTCCCAAACTAACTTACGAAAACGTATCAACACTGTGACGATGAAACAAAGGTGGTGACAGCTTTTCTGAGTATTTAATACCCCACAACATCATACACATGAATTTCCTAGATTCCTGGACCAAAAGCTCATTTTCGTTGCCTGCTGTGCTGCTGTGCATGTGCTTTTCTCCCCCAGAAGTGGCTCCGTGTGTGTGGAAGATGCATTGTCTATAGAACTGACTTTGGATTTTTGGACCACTCAAGGTGAAATAAAGTGAAAAATATGTGAAATGCTCTTGTCCTCTGAAAAACAAAACCACAAGGGCTGTATCTGAGTTGATTGGCCTGAGGTTCTTGAACTCGCAGTCTGTTTCAAGCCTACGCTTTATGAACCCCTGAAACTGTGCTGAGAAGTTTCTTATATTAAGCTTTCCATGGAGCAGGTGATTTGTTTCATCTGCTGTACAACACTGTACTAAACACAGCTGATCCACTCTGATTGCACCATGGAATGGAACGCATCTCCAGTGGCCATTTGACTTTGTCAGCTTTTCTGCAAACTTCATCCACTTCTGCCTATGTGCTTGTCAGTAACTTTCTATATAACATGGTAGAACTTGCTCACTATTTCTGGATTACTGCATAAAGTAACTTTTACATTGTGCTTCCTGCTATATTCTTTAAATCTGTATCTTTACAATATTTGGTTTTTGTTTTTTACTCTGTCATGTCCATTTCAGCTGGGTAATCCATCATTTTCTTATAAATGCACTGGTTCCACGAGCTTGTGCTGAGATCAAGTTTTGCTGCATGTTCCAGATACATGTTCATTTCAATTTTTCAGTGCCTGTCTGGCCATTTTGTAACTCTAATTTGCAGGCCCCTTCCTGTCTGGATTATTAGTTGAGTAGTTTAAATGCAAAAAGTCACAAAAATAGGAAAAAGTCCCAATATTTTCATAGGGCTTGAGGAATCTGAATGAAACAAACTTGTGGTCTTGGCCTATTTATTTAGAGAGGGCATAAAAGGTAGGTTCTGGAAGAAGTGTCTGTCTCCCCCCACACATAGTATAGGTTTCTGACACAGATGTAATATATTGCAGGTAGGGAATATTCTTGTTCACGGCACATCCCACTTCCTATGTCATCATGCTCTGTCAGATTTGGGACGTTCTTGAGGAGATCTGAGTCTAGCTCTGGAACCTGCATTTTACACACATTTAAATATTTCTGTGTGGTTGGATTGGATGATCTTTGAGGTCTTTTCCAACCTTGGTGATTCTGTAATTCCAAGATTCTATGGTTTGCAGGGAGAACAAAGCTGTCAAAGGACAACGCTGTTCAAACTGTGTAAGTTGATTTAGACAGTGGGACTCTGTTACGCTTGCTGTTACATTTTTTGCAAATGTTTCTGTTCCTGAGTCAGAAGATACAGATAATAGCTCTCTTATCTTCCCTTCTTGAAATATTGTTATTTTTTATTTTCAAACAAAAGAACTGCAGTACAGGAAGACTGAAGGTAATTTACCCATGCTTTACAGCAACACAGATCACTTGTTATGGAAATGCTGTTATTTTCCTTGTTTGCTTACACACATGTGAGGTGTTTTCAACCTGCCTAAATTTAGTTTTGAAATATGCTGTGTCAAGAGGTTCTGTATATCAATTTTTGGTAAGCATTATGGAAAACATACCTTTTATCATGTAAGAGTTTTGTATTTCAGTTTTATTTGTATTTCCTTATTCTTTTGTCATAAGAAATTAAATGTTAATTGTTCACGCACTGATCATTGTAGTTATCGTTTCTTTATAAAATCTTTTAATATTTTAATTCTTTTTTCATGTAGAACATTTTTGTTTCTGTAGTAGATTTTGCACATTTTTAAGCCTTTTTGATTTTTTTCTCATGAGGAGGATGAGGACACTCAACTTTCTATGAAGTACAAAAGAAAGACTGCCACCAACCCTTCTTACACTGTCATGCTTAGCATTATTTTTTAGATCATAGCTTAAGCCAATCTGTGTGTTTCAAATGAGGCTGCGATTTGATATAGAAGGTAGATTACTTCACATCTATCTACTGCAGCATTCATATTCTGCATATTCTGCTACTGGGCACCCTGGACTAGGCAGACATTTGTTCTAATCCATTCAAATAGTCCCTGTGTTCTGATGTTTGGTTACAGTGCTGCAAATCAACTACTTTTGGCTGGTTCCTCTGAACTTCTCAGACCAGCTTTCTGCAATAAGCCATAAGTTTGTCAGCTTCTGTGTTTAGGTTCTCCATGTCACAAGTTTGGGATAAAGTCTGCTGGAGAATGAAAAGGATTAAGACTAATGAGTTACCTCCAGGTGCTTCTTGGTTTGCCTTCTTGGTGTTCTGCTCAGTGGCCCTTGATGTCTCACACCTGTAGAAATGTGGGATGCAGCAAGATAACCAGTTCAGTTGAGTTTCTTCAAAAATCAGGCCCACATCATTCTTACAATTCAAACATGACTTTATTAATTGTCAAAGGAGGTTTCAAGAACAGGTCTGAGTGAGTACAGACTGCCTGAACTTGCTTATTTTTTAACCTGTAAACCAACTTCTATCAATATTTACATAATCACTTCATCTTTCTCATAAATTGAACATGAAGATCAAATGAAAGTATTTATCTGACTTTAATGTGATAGTGCTGAGTTGCTGTTTTGAAGGAGAGCTTTTTATTATTCAAAGAATAATTATTCCTTGAAAAACGTTTGTCAGGTATGGTATGAGCACATTCTAGTATGAAGAACTTCCTGCCTTCTTTTAGGTGGCATTAGTTGTTAAATAAAGAGCTGAATTAAATAAGACAACCAATTCTATAGTCATTTTTTTTTTTTTTTTTCTGTAAATATAAGCCTTCTGGGAAACTGAACTCTCATTCTTTAGCTTTGTCATGAAGAAATTTAAAATAGGGTAAATTACCTGACTATTTTACTACTAGTACTTATAGTCTTGGTCATTAAAATAACTCCAAATGTCACTGGTATTTCTGCTCTCCTAGGCAAATTTAATTTCTCAAATTGAGTTAGGCTTTCTTAAATTCTTTCTGAATGTTCACAATGTTCACATGTATATCAACAATAAAGCTCATTTCCTAATCTACACAAATATGTAGCTTTGCAGTTGACTAGGCTGTATGCATAGCTGAATCCCAGTGTTGGGGAAAGGAAGTACATCTGCCTCCTGTATCCCCCTATCAGCAGGAAAAGATTTCTAATCAGGCAATTTGTAAGGGTATTGGGCCCAGACTTGCAGATGTTCCCACATGGTAAAGAGCGATTTGCAGATGTTTATGAAATGCTGCAGTGTGTGTTTGTAAACAAATTCCAGATACGTTTTGTTCAACAAAGATGTTTGCCAGAAGTTACTGACAGCACGGGTTCTTTATTTAAGGCATGTCAAAGTCATGGAGATACTACAGGAAAGTGTACTGGTAAATGTTTAGCACTCTAAGACATTAACTACTTTGCTTTTTATTTATAGAGATGAATAATGGTTGCTACAGAGAAATAATACAATAATCATTACAGTATATTACTGCTAGTCTCACACTCACCTTATTTCCCACTTTTTAAGTTATGTAGTTGAAACAATCCCCACTGGAAGAATTTGCTGAAGAAGAGCTGCTAATATCTTTTTGGTGCTTGCAGCTTTGATCATGTTCTGTTGCATAATTTGCCATATAAGGAAATCTGAGAAATATTAATGAAGCCTTTATACAGCCAGAAGATATAATTTCAGAAAAAGAAAGAGAAACAGCACTGTGTTGGGTATTCCAGTTGCCACTTCTTAATGGTTTACCATTTCCTAGCCATATTTCAAACACTTTTTTCTTTGACAGATAATCAAAGCTTTTGAAAGTTACTTACCTCAAGCCTCCCAACGTTTTTCTTTCAGAGAAGTTCAAAGCACCCTATTAATTATTAGCACTTGTGAGATGAGGTTTTTGAATTTATAAGAAGTAAAATGAGACATATTGTGAATTTAAATAGGTTTTATACTGAGATTTGTAAAACAAGTTTCTGCAAGTTTCTTTAGTGCTGTTGTCACCGTATTTGCAGAAATCTGATGCCAAAAAAACCAACGACCAAACAAAAAAAACCTCCCAACAAATAACACAACCAAAACCACATCAACCTCAATGCATTTATATGGCCTACTCAGCATTAGCATTTTTTTAAAGTCCAGTTTAAGTTCATGAAGAT